GCCGTTTAGGGAAACGAATCAGACCACAACCCGGCAGGCTGGCGCTTTCTTCAAAGTATCGACGAACACGTGAAGGAACAAAGGTATAATATACAAGGAAAAACACTACGGGTGGACTTTTTATGTTATAACCCTGGAAGCGGAAACGGGTTATGAACTAAGTCGGGGCAACTTCTGGAGTTGTCCTTCTTTGTTTTGGACGGCTAGAAAGCCCGGTCAGGTCTTGCTAACCACAAAAGGTAGCATTTCTACTAACAGCAAACTATTAGTTTCTTCAAAAGACATTTCTTTTGATATGTGAAATCAGACAAGATTTCTCTTAACATATTTCCTTCGTGTATTAAAGGATATTTTTTCCAATAAAAGGAATAGGGATTTCCAATTTGGGAATCCACACTTTTCAACCTTGCGGTAGTTTCCTTAATCTGTCTACTGACATGATTAATTTCAGCATTTACTGATTTATTATATATTTTTAAAGGATTATTCATGATAAAAAGTTTTAAGACTTAATAACAAAATATAATCTTTTTCAAAAAGGCTTTTTCAAAGTCTTTTATATCATTCTTTGCAGAATTTTTTCGGTTTTTTAGAGTTGCTTTTAAAACTCTGTTTTGGTTTTCTTCAAATCGTAACTCATTGAGTTGATTTTGAACTGTTTTTAGCTTTTCAGCCTTTGTAATTATTTCGAATTTATAATTTTTTTATATGAATATGATGGTTCATCTTTTTAATGTTAAGAAACATTAATTTTGTAATTTATATAAAAATTGATTTTTGAAAAACAATCTTTTGAAACAAGGGGAAAGATGAAGATAAGGAAAACTGCTTACTTGAAAGAATAAACGCAATTTCTATGTATATTATACCTTTGTTCCTTCACGTGTTCGTCGATAGTCTTGAAAAAACGCCAGCCTGCCGGGTTGTGGTCTGATTCGTTTCTCTAAACGGCCTCCTGCCTAGCGGTACTCAGCAATCCTTCTGACCATCCTGCTCTGTCACTACATAATGCTTTCTTTATTCTAACAGGTAAGCCCTCAAACGAGGACTTCCTCAATATCTTACATCTCCCCTTGAGGAGTTTTACTCGCTAGAAAGCATGAAAGCTAACTATCTATGAAATTCCTTTGAGAGAGTTCTCAGGGAGGAGAAGTGGTGCTCTAGGAGCTGATGATTTACATTGAAGCCTACATCGCTATTTATAGAACAAAAACTATTGTTTTCTTCTATAATTATTGTCGTGGATCCCACGTAATAGTGAATACTAAAAATACTATTCATCCTCGAGATTCTTCACATTTTGTCGTGTGAAGAAAAATAATGCAGCCCGTCAGTCCGTCAGTCGTCCTTTGGTGATGTCTTGTCTTCTGTTGACAGATGCTCTCTGTCTGAATTATTGATGTTGCTACTTTCACAGTGGCCGCAACAGTGGTTCTCAAACAGTTGTTTAGCCTGTTTGCAGAAGCTTTGTCTCGTATTGATGCAAGCGTCAATACTGTTGTGCATGAATCTTTCTCCGAAGATGGAGAGCTTCTTCATGTCTTCTGTGTTGGTGTTGCTGAAACTCCAACTGGTTATTATGCAGTTTGAGCTGACATAGTTAACCTTCTTCTTTGATCCTGAATAGGTTTCCAGGATTCTTTCTGCCACCCTTCGTAGTCCTTGGACGCGAACTCGTTGCAGAATTTCTGTAAGCGGAAGGTCTTCCATAGGTAGAGATGACTCTATCTCTTTCCTGCTTCTGGCAAGTCCTATCTCAATGAAGTAATAGGGGTTATACCTTATTTCTTGTTGCCAGTCCGGAATGGAACTAACAATGTTGATATACAAAGGCTCATCCTTTGCTTTTAGAACTTTTCGTCTGAAGTTCTTTATTGATTCTACCATCTGGCTCGGAAATTGCTTTAAGCTCTTCCAGGTTGCTGCTTGGGTAGATGTTGTGAACTAATCCTGCTCTGAAAGCTTGAAAGATTAGTGTTGGCTCTGCTCCTTCGGTGAAGTTGTAGAGGCTCTTTGATTTCTTGTCCGTGGTGTAAAACCGTTCGGCTGTGAAATCATCTGGACATGCAGCTCTTGCTTGGAAGTCTTCGAACGCTATCAGTTCTCTGGTGACTTCTTCTTGGATGACCTTGGGCATGGCGAGCCTTTGGTCTTTACGTTCTTCCTTGACCTTTTGTATCTTAGGTCTAAGAAGAGTTTTTCTGGTGGAGGACGAGCCTTCTTGATAAGTTGCTAGACTGAGTCTGGCACTTTCTTCCGATCGGAATTTCTTAGACTTCGTCTTTCCTTCTTTGCAGAAGGTCTCCACTACACCCCAATCGGTGTATATGCCTTTATGTGGTCCGGAATAGATCACATAAAATTTCGCTTGAGAGTCGTCTTTCAGTGCTCCCAGGTAGCTTGGTGCAAGTTTTTGTACCTGCATTTTTTAGTTGACAAAGTTGTTATCTTGCTGAGTCCTTCAGCTGAGGGATTAGAATTAACTAATCTACTAATTTTGCCCAGCATAGGACCAGGACTAGTATTATCCTTGTTTATGCTTTTTAGCAAAGCACCAGCTATCAACGGATTTGTTGATTCTTTACCATGAGCCGTTTGCTCAGGAATAGCCTTTGTTTTAAGACTTGCGTCTACCGGTATGTTGGTTACCGTTTCTAAGCTTTCAAGAAGCTTGATTTTTTGCTCAATCTCTGAGATTTGAGCTTTGTGTTCTATTTTTTACAAATTAGAAGCATTTGCTTCTTTATCCTCAATGTCTTGAGGTCTTCCATTTCTTACAAAATAATTTGTAAAAAACTGTTTGTCTCTCAATCTCCCCTTCTCTTTTTGTAGGTGGAATTTTGATGAAAGGAAATGTCTTGAGGATCATTCCTTTTATAGGGCTCGTGAGGAGCATGATGATGTCATGGATGACATCTGTCTTTCAGTAGAATAAATTCTGCTGAACCATCGTTGCCATCGTCTTCGACGGTCTTGTTTACTATTTCCTGTGACGTTAGTTCATAGAAAATATGTAAAGTTTTTATTATCTGTTCCAGAAAAATTACTGGTAAAAGATAATTGCTAAAATCTTTAATTACTTGTTTTTCTGCAAGTAATTCTTTTTTAACGCTGTAATAATTATTTTCAGCATTTTTAAGATTTTTCAGAACTGAATCTGAAATTTTTTCAGAATGGTTGGAGGTTTTTGTTTTTAAAACTTCTCTCCAAAATTCTGTGGACACATCGGTCTTTATTAATTTATCTTCTTGTAAAGATAGATAAATTCCTTGATCTATTTCTAGATGAAGAAAATTAATCTTCGTTTGAAAAAGATTAGCTCTATTTTTTGGAAGGATTATTTTATATTTTAAAATGTTGTTTAAAACATTTAAAACGTAAAAATAATATTTTCTTTTGTATTTATTGAGGATAAAATTATCTTCAATATAAATTGTACAAAAGTTTTTAAAGATCATTTTGCAAATGTCTTTGGAAAAACTTGAGACATGTTTTTAAATCAGAAGGAACAAAGTTCCATTTATAATAATCGTCGTGACAAGTAAATGCCGTCGGAAATAGGGATCCTTCATCCAATAATACCTGCAAAAAGTCAGATTTGCAATTGAATGTAGAAAATATATAATCTCTCTTAAGGAGATTATATTTGCATGGTCTTTATAGCGGTTTTCCATCGGAGATGGTAGCTATTATTTTTCTTTGGGATCTTCCTATGAGTTATCGAAGATAACTTCTTTGTTAGCTGAACAGAGTAAGGAACCTGTATTAGCATAACAATGTAATTTATGTTTTTTGTAACCTTTAAAAATAAGGATTCCAAAAATATAAATAGGACTCGTATTATTTCTAAACGATTCCTGAATCTTTGAGGATTTAGACCAAAGTCTAATCTTCATCTCCTTCCCAATTTTAAAGTATGGGATACTGTTTTTTAAGGATTGACTCAACAATCTGTATTTTTCTTTACTGAAAAAGAAAATGTTTATGATATAAATCATTTTAAGAAATAAATCATAAACTACTGAAAGTAGTATTTTTCCAAAAATCTTTTGAATCATCCATGTGATCAAAATTTTTAGCTTTTTATAAACCAAAATAAATGGTAATTTGTCCAAAAATAATCCATGATGGATTTTTGTTGGTATCTAGATAAAGTAGGCAAAATGCCATTAATTCCTACCGTGAAGTGTAGATGCCCAATTGAATGGTGATCCTTGACAAAAATTCATAATTGAATTTAGATGATGTTTTTTGGCATGAAAGAACCAATAATTTCTACAATATATTGTAGATATTTGTATTTTCATACAATATTTTCTACTTTGCATGGTAGATAACTGTATCTTCATACATTTGTAGACAAACTTTTGTCTGGTGGTTTTTTATCGAACTGATTGAAAACTGATTCTTTGAAATGTTTTCTTAAAGAAAACCTTTTATTTTTCTTTTTAAAAGAAGTTAAAGAAGTGCTAGACTTCCTTTTATAATTTTTTTGAAAGGAATTGAATTCGTAATCAAAAATTTTTCTATCAACGTTGAGATTTATAAAATCTCTAGTCGTTTTCTGTTTATCTGTATTACGACAGATTTCTGTATCTTTAGCAATTTTTGTTGCTAAGTAAAAATTTCTTTTTGAAAAGTAATTTTGCCACCTTTTCAAAATATTTTCTCCATTGAATTGGAGTGTTGGAGAATAAGTGTTTGGACACTTATTGTATTTTGCTAAAAAATAACAATTTGTAAGTTTTTTAAGAACTTTGGTTTGCCAACTTGCAAAACAATAATCTTTATTTTTTAA